ACTCAGTCTGTATCCTTGTAGTGTTATAAGTGCTTTATGTACTGACTATATGAAGTTTTTTATGATAAAGACATATTAAGTTTCAGAAAACAGGATACATGTTGCTAAAATACTAACACAAACTGAAATGCAATGACAGAATTTATATTTTGACACTTTTAGTATTAAAGGAGTTGTCACCTGTGGACTTACCTGAAAGTCACATGGCCTGAGCAGCCCCAGTGGCCTGTAGGCTGCCAATTCGTATTCCAACAATGTGCACTGCATAGTATATCTTTGGAACAATTTGCACGAGCTCTTTCACTGCAGCACTCTTCATTCACATCTCCAAGTAAACAGAGTAACAAGGAGAGGAAAGGTAGTCAAAGCCATCTCACATTTTACATATACCTGCTTTAGCTGCATCTGCTTCCATACCGTAACAAACAAGGTAACCCTGGAAGTGTGTGATCTCATTGGTTGCTCCCTTGATGCTCAGAAGCCTCTGGACCTTGGAGGCCGATGAACATCTAGTGCATGCAGGAGGGAAGGCAGAGGTGACCTCTGCTTTCCTGTTCTGCAAGTCTGCTTGATGGCTGAGTCCAGGTGTCTAGCTTTAGCCTGGAGGGGGAAGAAGGAGGGTGGAGTGCTGTCAGGATACCTTGCCTCCTTTTGGCCCCCGTCTCCCTCCTTCTCTTCTCTTTACCCCCGCCCCAGAGGTTAATTTCCTGACCTTAATGAAACTGGCAGAGTTCTTTCTACCCCCAGCTGTGGGGGGGTGGGGGTGGGAATGTAGATCAAAGTGGGGAGAGCCTATGTTCACATTTTAAAATGCTGTGGCAACCATACAGTTGGATCTGAAGAACTGTCAGGTGCATGAATATATAGCAGCTAGCCCTAATTCCATAAATGCTGCCCAAAGCTGAGCTGAAAAAAATACATAGAAGGACAACATTTAAGATGATTGGGAGCTGCAGCAGCTCCCTTATGAGCAGCAGCTACAACTGGGACCGTTCAGCTTTAAGAAAGGGTAAGGGGAGACATGCTAGAGGTATTCAAAATAATGTGGAGGAAGTAAAGAGGGAGACACTTTTCCCCCTCTTCCATAACGCTCAAGCCAGGGCCAGTCTGTGCAGCTGATCGGTGGGAGTTTAGGACAGCTAAAAGTACATCTTCACACACTGTACGCTAAACTATGGAATTTGCTGCCACAGGAAGTGGGAATGGCTACCAATCTGGTTGGCTTTAAAAAGGGATGGGACAGATGGACGAGGGAGGCTATCAGTGGCTACAACCCACCTTGGTGTCCATGTGCTCCCTCCTTTATAGCATGCCTGCATACACCAGCTGCTGGAGAGCTTGTCGGGGAGGAGGTCTTGCAGCCATCCTGCATGAGGGATCCTGTGGGCAGCTGGTTTGCCAATGGGTATACAGAGTGCTGGACCAGATGGACCTTGGTCCGAACCAGCGTGGCTTTTTTGTTCTTATGCTTTTATGTTGTCGTGATCAGAAAGTACTGTAACAATCCTTATGCTTCCACTGACATACGAAGTTGTACATGCTCTTATGCAAGTGGAAGACCATCTTTGGATTAAGGTTCATTTTTCTAAACACACCCTAAAATACCCCTTCCGTGAGAGGAATACCCTCCTCCATATGGACGTATGACTTTGGATCCAGTTTACAACATTTCTAAGCAACATGCAGAACTAGAGCCCAAGACAAACTTTCAGAGATAAGCAGGAGTAAATGCTTTATTATAAACATTTATCTCTTATTTATCTATGCACAAGTGCTTTCCTATCAATTCAGTTTTAAAGGTAAAACAATAATACCAAATTCAGTCTCGAATAAAACAGCAGATAAGAAAACTCAGTAATTGTTTAAAGGGCCTGGAAGAATAAAACAACTCTTTGCCCAGCAACAAAAGTACATCAAACTCTATACTTTAGGGAATGCTGAGAATAGACCATAGATAAAAGCCCTTTCCATACTTGTTACTTACCTTGATATGAGAAGGTACCTGGAAGAGAATACCTGGAAGAGAGTGAAGGAGGAGTTCACTAGCTATAGATGGGACCATATTCTCCCTGGTATGAAATTTAGGTATGGTCCTAAATCCAGTTTTGCTGTTAACTTGCAGGTATTGATTGCTGCCTATGGTCTTTTTAATCGCCTTAATTTGATAGGCCAATAACGTTTTCACCTGAAGGATACAGACTTTGCCAATGTCTTCTGTGCCAAGAATCTCTCAACTTAAGCAGTTTAAAGAAATTGCCTCTTCCCCACCCCCCAAAAAAGTATTAGAAATTGAGACATTGATCCAGAGAAGATTAACAATGCATTAATACCTATTTCTAGAACAGCCTAAAACCCAGAGGACAGCTAATATGTACAAGAAGGTTCTTTTGAAGCATTTATGATCATCTGAGGTACGACATATGTTGAGAATTTGAAACAGCTTTGTCAGGAGTACTAAAAACAGCTGCAGAACCAGCTACTGCATAGCACTGTACATGCTCATTCTTTTAAAAGGAAAAACACTGTAGAAAGAATTTATGATCTTTATCAGATAAATCCAGACACACCCCTGATTGGATCTCCTAATCATTGATACGAAGCATGGTAGTTTTAATGTCCTCTTGGTTAGTGTAACCATGGTCTTCTAGGTTACTGGACTTCAAAAGGTGTATCAGATATACCCAAATCACAGGAGCAGTACTGCCATTCTACAAACCAATAAAATAATGGCACCCAAATGCAAGTTTGAGTTAAAGATGGGTCTCAGATGGGTCCCTAAGCAAACAAATGATCTATGGATGAAACACCAACTCCAAATGTTATTGGATCAACACAGCCACTTGATCAATATTTAAGTATGTAAAACTATGCATAATTAATGTCATGACAAAGGTACATTTTAATGGGGGAAAACCTATGATTCTGACTTTTTTTCTTTTTATATCTAACTGGACTTGGGGTATTGTCTTCAGAAGGTAACCTTGAAACTGCAAAGTCACTTGCCCAACTCTGTCTATCTGCCTCCCCAGAAATGCAGTAATCTAAGCAGATTGTAGCATGCCAGAGCTGGGCTCCCTCTCTACAGGCACCTTCTCTAACTGGGGAAAGGTAATGACTGGGATACTGCAGGGTTCAGTCCTGTGCCCTGCGCTCTCCAACCTCGTTATTAGTGATTTAGATGAAGAGGGAAGACATATCAAATGTGCAGATTACACAAAATTGGCTAATACCCTAGAAGACAGAAAGAAACTACAAAGCAAATTAGATAGGCTGGAGAGGTGGGCTGAAAACAATGAGAGGAAATTTCATAGGGACCAATGTCAATTTCTGCACCTAGGAAAAAACCTGCTTGGCTCAATAATTGAGAAGGATTTTGGAATTGTAGATAACAAGCTGAATAAGTGTTGACAACGTGATACAGATATGAAAAGTGCAAATGCTATTTTGGGCTGCATTGAAATAATGATCTCTTCCAAGCCACATTTAGTAGTTCATTCTACTGAACACTGGTTAGGCCTCATCTGGACATTCCCGGGCACCACAGTTTAAGATAGACACAAACTAGAAAGGTTTCAGAAGGTGGCAACAAAGATGAAAACAAGAAGAGAGCGAAAGAATTAGAGGTACTAGCCTTAAAAGAGGAAAACCATGATAGCACTCGAAATATTTGTCATACAGAAAGGGCCAGGGTGTCTCCTCCTCCATCCCAAAGTGTAGGAAATGGAACAACAGGTTCAAGCAACAGGAAACCAGAGTCCATCTGAACATCAGGAAAAACTTCCTGATTGTTAGGGCAATAGGATGCTACAACCAAGTAGCTAGGGAGGTCATGGGCTCATGGAGGTATCCATGATGCAGCCAGACAGGTATCTGTTAGTGATGCCTTAACTTGGAGCCCTGCACTGAGCAGGGGTTGGACCTGAAAACCTTCTTGGCCCCTTCGAGCTCTAATATTCTATTATTTTATTATTTATTTATTAAAACATTTCTATGCCGCCCCTTGCCAGAGCCTATTCTACTTCCTTGCGTTTGTACTGAATTTTCTGCCAAAAAAAGGGTGATGCTACTCATCCACTTTAAGGCACACAGAAGTCATGGTTTAGAAGGGGTCAGTTTTACTTCCAAATAGCAAAAAGGGATTTTCACTGTTAATAGGTATAGTTAAATAAGGTCTGGTATTTAGTCCAACAAATACTCAGGAATATCTGTCAGATTCTAAATTAGAGCTAGGAAGTGGTAATGGTGAGGTTGGAAAGAAGAACAATGAAGTAATGTCTTAGGTTCTTACAATATGCCTAAGAGCATAATTCTATGCCAAAACACAAATTTAGTATGATAGTTAGGAACAGAAGGTTTACCTTTTTCATGATTGTTACCAAGGCGCCTACACACTGTCTTATAAACTGCTGCCTGCAACACCACATGCCATAATACATTTGTCACTCTTTAAAGGCACCAAAGACTCAATAGGCTGATTATCTGGATGATAGTCTCTTTTGGCCACAAAACACTAACATGGTCAGCCCTATGAAAATACTATTGGACTTCTATTTTCAAGTGACTGTATTGTATTATTTGCAATAATGTATTGTTTTAAAGCCTCTAACATACCAGTATGATATTGTAAACCGTGTGGTGTAGTGGTTAAGAGCATGGGACTGGGACTCAGACGATCTGGGTTCTAGTCCCTGCTCAGCCATGGAGCCAACTGGGTGACTTTGGGCCAGTCACAGACTCTCAGCCCAGCCTACCTCACAGGGTTGTTGTTGTGCGGATAAGATGGAGGAGGAGATGTAAGCTGCCTTGAGCCCTTTGTAGGAAAAAGGCAGGATATAAATCGCAATATAAATAAAACAGCTTTGCAGACATGTTTTGCTATGAAAAGTGGAACATAATTGCTCAAGTAACATAAAAAAGAAACAGAGAAGTAAAATAAAATAATTAGAGCACGCTTAAGAATAAGAATAATATGAGCTTTGCAAGCTCCTTCTCCAAGGGTATAGTAATAAGTCTCCTTCCTTTATGAATATGTTTACAATGCAGCATGGACATTATGAGTAGAAATAAACGCTGGACATCTTCCTGTGTGGCTTGGCATGGGCGGAAATGAGAGAAAAACATCATTTTCACTGTATTGTAATTTGTCATCCTCCATGCACAGGACTGTATATTTACAGGTTAAGACAAGACAATCCCAGAGCAATCTTAAAATGTCTCAGTCATTCGGTCTTTTTCCTTAGCTTGACTTATCACTTATCTTCACTGCTCATGGTGTGTTCTTCAGACAGTTCTGTCTTTAATTTTTTACGAGATGGCTCTGCCTGGAGAAGAGGCATGCAACACTCCAGGGATTGAGCAATTTCATCAATTGTCCATTTGTCTTCATAAAGTGCATGTTCTTCCAGTGTAAATGGTCCCTGTTTGGTTCGGGTCAGCTCCTGTACGGTGGCACAGGAGGAAAGCTCTATGGCATCGAAATGAAGCAAACAAAAGAATCAAACTGGCGTTCACATCAACATTTCATATCACTTGAATCAGTATGCCAGTAACAAAAGATAGTAAAATTGCATTATGCTCAGCATAATCACTATAGCAGTACATTCTCCTTCAAAACCATTTAAAGGTGCATTTTTGATTTATGTATTCTTCAGATGTTAAGCAGACAGGACTTGCACAGAACAGTGGCTAAGAGAATGAACTATGAATCAGAATTTGTTCTGGTTTGAATCTTGACTTTGCCATGAACAAGCTGGCCTTCAGCAAGCCCCTCCAACCTCAGTCTCCTCAATCTCTTGGAGGAGGGGAATAATACTGACTTACCCTACAAGCAGAGGGAGGCAACTTGTGGGCCTCTAGATATTTTGAGCCACAACACCCATCAGCCCTAGGAAACACAGCCAATGGTGAGACTTCATGGGAGTTGCAGGCCAAACATCTGAAAAGACACAAGTTCTCCATTCCCGCTTCACAGGGCTGCTGTAAGAATGCATGTGAACTATGCTGAACACATGCTATGTCAATACAGTCCTAGAACAAGACACTCATTGGCAGTGTTCACATGTATTGTTATACACAGCTGGTGTTAAACATAGTGTGTTGCTTTAGCCATGAATTTACTTCCCTATTTCTGGGTTGCTTTCTCCCAGTCTTTCTGTCAATGTTCATGGTAGTTTCATTTTCGGCCTGCTCTTGCTGGATGGCTCTGTTTGAAGGTGGATAGTAGCATAAGCAAGCCAGCCACATTGACACAAGCCGATGTTCACACTTAACAGCAAAACATGGATCTTTTTTCTGGGTTGTTGCTGTTCAACAATCCATGGATTATATGCTTCACAGATCGAACAAATAGCTGGATATCAATAAACCACATCATGACTCGGTATTATGCGTGAATGAGGATCTTTTCCTATTGTGTCCAGATGTTTTATGGTAGGATTTCTAATCTGAGGCCAAAGTTATGAGAAGCTAAATGTGACTATTTCTTTAAAAATGAAAAGCACCCTAACTGCAGACCTTGTATCCCTTTTCACATGGCTGCCACTAACAGAACTACTATTAATATTACACATTTATTCTTCCAAACCTATTATATGTATATAATGTGAGGAATGATCTCACTGAGTTAGCTATTGCCCACAAGAGAGTACAGCATCAACAGCTGTTACAAGTGGACAGTTATCAGTATCGTATGTACATTTTGTACATATTGAACAGAAGCGAAAGTAGCTTTTAAAAATGGATGTAGCTAGGCAACTTTCCATGATCATGCTAATCTTTGGATGAAGTGGGATAGTTATATTATGCTCTGCAAATTGTGGTTTTGAATAACTGTCACATCACCTTTAAAGATAAGAACATCCTGCCTTGACATTCTAATCTATTTATCTTGCAGGAAAGAAAATTGTTTTGTTTTTTGCTATTAATTCAATTGTCTACCCACCATTTTATCACTGGACCCCTTAATAGTCAAGTTCACTGTATGCTAACAAGGGCAAAGTCACAGCAAACAGTGCAGCGGTTCTGGCACATAAATCTGGCAGCCAGAGATACAGAAAGTAAAAACAATCCTCTTTTAACAGGAACATTTGCTCCCCAGGCGACTGCACTTTGTCTGTGCCTACCTTTGCCAATGTCGTTGACCAAGCTTCTGACATAAAAGCCACTGCCACATTCAACATCTGGAATGTTAACAGTGACATGGTAAATTGCCAATGTAGTACAAAAATCTACTTTACATAGAAATGCAAAAATGCACTAAGCAAACAAGAGAATGATTAAAATATTTATGGGCACTAATATAAATTATTCATCCTGTAACATATGTGAGAGTGAGATTGTGAAGGCAGTGAAGAGAGAAAAGCAAACAGAAATAAAATGCACCAGCTCCATCATCGTTCTCCTTATAACCACCAGCTGCAGGCTTTCACAAAGAACTTCAGGCCCTTTGTTTGGAAGAAAAAAGATGCCAAGTAAGGTCATATTTACCTACTAGAGATAAAAGCTGTTGTTTTAAAACACTAGCTCTACATGTTTTTAAAGCACTGAAATGGATGCAACTCATATGCGCAAAACCAAACCTTCCCAAGTTTGCCTCTCCTTTGCCATTTTGATTACAATAAGCTATTGAAAATAAATCAGTCAATAGAAGCAGCCACTGAAAGGAAACCATATATTAAAACATAGGCGTGCATTAGGTAATAGAGAGGCACTCTAAGCATGCAAGTAAAACACAACCTCAATCAATCGCTTACCTGTACAAGCCTGCACGTACGTCACATTTGAAATAGGCAAAGCGGTTTATGTTGGCTTTCGATTGCCATAAAAACACTGTTTTTGTCCAGTTACCGAAATGCCCATTTTACAAGGTAAAAGGCAAAGGCTGACAAGAGACACTTTTTTGGAGGACACTCAGTGCGTACAGGGGTAGGTAGAGCTTACACATGTGATCTTGTGGGTTCACCACCATTGGCTTGGTGCAAACTGCCCTTTAACCACACAAAGGTGGACAGAACTTCATGACTATTATTCCCGTCTGAATAACAGGAAAGAGGCTTAGCAGGACTATTACTAATACCCTCATAGACTATTAGTAAAACCACAAGGTAAAGTCCAGAGAGATGCTGTCAGGGATTCTCAACTGAGACATATTCCACTGCCGCAGAATGGAAGGCCACAGCTATTCAGAATGGATCTTGTAACTGCCTATGTACCTGGACTAAGCTTTGGCACTGAGGAGTATTTCTAGAAGCCTGATCCATAATCAAGGCACCACCGCCAACATGCATTTGGTCAGGGCATTTGAATCAGGCCCCCTGGAAAAGATCTTCACATGGGAGAAGCCAAGCTTTTACGTAACCTAATTCTGTTAAGATAATGGCCACATCACTTATTCAAGCTCTTTAACTTAGAAAAGGCCATTCATATTTTTACTGTTATTGGATGTGACAGGAAGGTTGTTTATTTGCCCTTTAAGGTTTGTGCTTGTAATTATACTTTACACACTTCTGCACCGTAGAGGCAGTTGGGCACAAATACACAGGCAGGTCCCCACTCTGGGAACTAACATTTAAACAGGCTAACAATGGGGATCTCATGAGCTTGGCCCTCTCCTCCTTGCCCTAAAGTACCAGAATACCAGGCAGCCTCTTAGCCAAGCTGATATTTATTGACATTTCGCAGCTGCAAGATGAAGCAACTCTGAAGGTGTCTAAGTGAGCTTGGAAGCTTGGCTTCTGCTCATGTCAAAAAAGCTGAACTCAAGCTGAAGACGTCCCCCTAAAGAAATTCACTTTGCATAACTGTGGACCCTACCTTCAGGGGGGCTTCTGCTGGTGAAAACCAGCAAAACACTATGCAAGCCCTCAATCTTGGCAGCTTGTCCCTCCCAGTGCTTTGCCATGGGGTCAGGAACTGGGCAAGGCAATGCCTTCCCCTCCTTCCACCCCTTTCAAAACATTCCTGTGGGCAGCAGGGGTTCCCCAAACTCCTATCTCCATTTCTTCAAGGTTTCATCCTCCTCTTCCAGAACCCTCGTCATGATGACCTAGGAAGCCTGCCAAGAGTGGCGGTCAGCTTCGCTCACTACAGGGGAAACAGCAGAAGGAGAATGAAAGAAAGGGAGGGGGCAAATGCAGCAATATACAGGCTAAGCCAAAGAAAATGTGGGTTTGAGGAAAATTTTGACATTAGAGAGAAGTAGCACAATCTGCCTGTTCACAGAATGCATTTCAGGTATAAGAGGCAGCAAAGGAGATTGAGCAGAGTGGCGATAAAGAGAAAGATGCTTCTGAGTAGCTGAAGAAGCAGAGATCACTGACGAGACAGACAGCAGGATGAAAAGGAAGGGTAGGACAGTGCTGTGGAGGCTATTCAAGAACAGGACAAGGGCTTCATGCTGACTATGGGAGCATGCTGGAAGACAACGGAAGAGTCTGGAGAACAGAGCGTCACGCAGGAGAATGAAATGCTTTCAGAAGCTGAGTTTGGGTTATTTATGTATACCAATAATCTTATGATACCTTTCAGGCAGACAAATTCACAAAACGTAGTTCACAAAAATGAAGTTAAAGCAATTTAAAAACATAACATGAACCCACAGGATATTAATACTAAAATGGAACCATAAAGCCATTCAAACCTAGACCAGCAATCTACAGAAAGCATAATATAAAAATAATAAACCATGGCAGCTTAGAAATCCAGCCCAGCATCATTGATTAAAAGTTCTTCAAGGCCCATTGAAGAACAGCTAGAGACAGACAAATGTATATCTCATTGGAGGAAATTCCACAAATATGGGATAGGGATATGAAAGAGAACTCAGCTGTGAAAGAAGAACACCAGAGAAATGAAGGTTGTAGTAATGAATAAGATCATGATCTAGACATTCAGCTGAAGGGAAAAAAGAATGAGTAGAGGTTTGCAATGTTGCAGTGGGAAGGAGAATAGCTGATTCTACACCTCCCCTTTTGATTTTATTTACTTAATACCATAAAAATATCAATAACAAAAAATAAAAAGGTAAAAATACAATACAAATGAACTGAATCATTATTTATTCACATCTATATACCTCTCTTCTCCTTTTCTTCTAAAGTTCCCTTCTATCAGAACAGCCCCTTCCTCATCCAAAATTGCAATAAATCATACAAAGGCTGAATACCCTTCCCTTTCATTAATACGTATTCAATGAACAACCCTGAAATGTCATTATTCTTGGTTGTTGACCCTTTTTTCACCTTAATGCTACACATTAACTTGTCATTAATAGCTGTTTCCAAATTTTCTTATACAATTCACTTAACTGGAAATGACAATTTCCCTTCCAGTTCTTTGATATCAATAAATAATAAATTCTGCACCTCTCTTAAAACATATGCACTACAGGTCAAGTTGTCCATCCTTTTTCCTAAAAAGGATAGGAATAAACAGATGTGCATGCATGTGTGTGTTGTACCCTTGCAAGTGCACGTAGAGAAGCACACATACTAGAGAAAAAAGGGAAGAGCCTGCTCAAGGAAGCAAGACTAATATCCAGTGCTTTTGACCCTTACCGAGCGTGAACAAGGGCGGCTCGAAGTTTTTGAGAGTGAGACTGTAAACGGTGACTAGCCTGGCAGGCTTTGCTTCCACACCTTCTCCTTTCCTAACCAGATCCGACAACCTCTGTCCATCTTTCTTCAGGGCAGAATAGCTGATTAGGGAGCACATACAAGAGCATATTAATAACAACACAACATAACCACAATGGTAATTAATGCTCCTCAAGTATTTTTTGCACATTTAGAGTTGTTTCCAAATGATCTCCCTAAATGTTGGGGCACAGTTAAGAAATCTAAACTAACCACAGAACAATCCTGACACAGAAACAATAATTATGCCTGAACTTGTAGCTTTTGAAGAGAGGAAACTAAGAAGGCATCTCACCTGGAGCAATGCATCAGGTGGGATAGGGCTTCCTTTGTTCCTCAACTTAAGAGAATGAGAGAGTGACCTTGATTGTGCACAACTGGATTTAGGAGGCAATTTGGAATCCAACTGTAGGTTTGCAAGTTTCTCTGAAGCAAGTCAAGCACCACAGACCTTGACCAATGTCAAGATTGGTAGACTGGCATTTTAAGTTAGCATGTTAAATCAGCAGGTGTTCAGGCCTACTTGACTGACAGTTGACATGAGAGTCTTTTTCCTGCAATCAGACTGGCTTTCCCAAGTCAAATCTGCTTATTCTCAGGACAACTGTTTCCCAGTATTGCCAGTTCAGCCTTTGGTAGACCAGTCTTACCAGTAACTCTCTGCCACTCTCTTTTTCACATACAAAGTAGTCAAACTGTTACACTGTTTAGCAAATGGTAGCGAGAACTAGGACCATCAAAGAAGGTCGACAGGTAATACACCGAGCTACAGAACCCTCCCCATGGCCAATATACCCCTTAACTCCAGGGCATGCACACAGGGTTCCACAAAGAGACAGGCATTAGAAGGGCAGCTGACCTCTGAGGATTTCACTGGTCAACACATCTGGACTGTTGGGTATTCCACAGGAAGTGCAATCAGGGTGAAGTATGGTCCAACCCAAGCCTCCATCCAAGGAAGACTTCATTTAGAAAAACCTCTCCTTTTAGTTTACATGCGCCTCAAGGATTGCAACCCTGCCTATTAAGTAGTAGCAGCTGAATTTGGCTTAAATAGCCAAGGTACAAAAAGTCAGCCTCACTAATGACCTGAAAACCTGGAGCTGAGTCCAAAAAGCCGGCATCAAGGGGCCATTTGCATGTGTTGTTCAAGTCACTGTCCCTCTGGCTGTAACTCTGTCACAATAATTTATTCTTTTAAGGCAGAAAACTGCCTTGCTGTGCCAGTTTTCTGCTGCACAGAGGACGCTTTCCATTACCAGCAAAATAAGCTGTTGCAGGCAGCCTTTCCGAGGATATAAAAGGATACAAATCAAGCCTTAATCAAAACACTTACACTGGGGGAACTTGCATGATGTTTCCAGTGAATTTCTGCAGGACAGCCTCAAGATCCTCTTTGGTTATCCAGTCTGCCAAAAGAGAAAAACATGTGCACACAAATATTTCAACACTGGCTTACATTCAAGCAACTGATGAACTCTGGGCATTCCACAAGAGAGAGATTCATTTTGGGCATTTGATGTTAATTCCAATAAAGTAATAAAAGAACATATCCAAGGGAGACACTAAACTATGAGGTACACACAAATGAGATACAGCAGACAGATGAGAACAAAGGGCAGAGATGAGCTAATACATGCTGCTGCTTAATGATCCAGATCTGCAGGTGCAGGTTTTCTAGTATATTTTGAAGCTGTGGTATACAGAAGGAAAATATCAGCAGCCAAAGCCAACCTGGACAATTTCAGATAGGCTGAGGGTCATCTATTATCCCCACCTCACTCTGGAAAGATTTAGGCAACTGCCCAAGAAGTAAGATAGACCTAAACAGCATGAGCATGCAAAATCTTCTGCTTATCCCTTCCTCCAGCAGCAGGGATTTCTCTTAGATTATATAATCAAGAGCAACAGTTCATACCTTGTTTAAACTAAGGCAAGTATATATGCACATGCATTGGAATCCAACTAACTAAATTAGGGGTACAGAACCTCAGGTTCCGAAATCAAGCCCTTTTGGGTTCACCAGATTGCCCCGCCCCCTCCCCCCTGGCCCCAACCATTTCATGACCATCTGATGGTTTCTTGGCTTTCATGCAGGTTTTTCTCCTCTGAGGCTTAGTTCCTTTAAGCAACAATCCACTCGTACAGGAACCGCATCCCTTTTGCACTCAATCCCATCTGCCACTGGAATTCAGGCCCCCCATGAACTTCTCTGTGATGAAATTTGGCCCTTGGACTGAAAGGGGTTTAGTACCTCTGACCTATATCTTGAGAGTAAATACTTGGAACAACTTCAAATGCAACAATGACTGTAAGGGGACAAGAAATCAAAGTTTCTGTCATTTCCTGTTTGTGCACTTTCCTGCTTTTCCAGTGAAGTAATGCGCAAGGGTTACATGTGGAAACATATTGCTTAAGTTGTATTTGGAAGGGGATGGAAAAGCACCAAGTTTCCATTTGTTCTACCATCAAGTGCTGGTCAAGTCCAACGAACGCTGGCTTGGAATATAGAGACCCAGGTTCAAAACCTTCCCAGTCATGAAACTCAGCAGATAATCTGAAGCCAGCTATTATCTAGTATGGATAATATATACATTGTCTTTATCTCCTTGAAAGAGGAATGTGACAAAAGTGGATTGAATAAACACAAGCAAATAAAGTTATTAGAGGTATCTAATCTGCATCAAATTATTTTGAGTGCACACATGTGTGGCTTGAGGGAGGAAAAGTTCAGAAACTTACTTTAGATTGCAAATTTTCAGTGCACAGTAGCCTTAATAAGAGCAGAGGCAGGGAATGTAACAACAAACAAAAAACTCTCCTACATACAGGATCTGGCTGCTTATTTGCTTCCACTCCAATCTCAATGCTTATTTTTCTGATAAGCTATATGACAGTATGAACAACTTTCTCTATCGAACTGTAACATATGCTAATACAAGTCTACCTAAAGCCTCTTCTGAATAACTCAGACGTGCATTGTGGAAGAAGTGAATGTAATAGTCATACTATGAAATACTTGGTGAACAAAAGCATTTCTTCCTGATGAGAGATTAGGAAGTTTTCAATTGAATGCTCCAGCTGTCTAGGTCCAAATTTATTCTATACTATAACACTCACTTTTCACATCCAACATCCAATCCAGTAAACAAACCTTGCCTCTGCAACCCTCCCTCCCTTCCCAATAGACAGCTCAAAAGAATCACGAACATCCCACCACAATTCACCTCCCATTTTAGAAAAAGTCTCCAAAGGACTGATACCTGGCAGGTGCTTTGTATTACATTTTAAATTGATTTTCAAAGGCAGGATACCCACTAGGTTTATTCAAACAAGCCACATTCATGTCATGCTAAATTAGAGATGGGAGATACGTAGCTTTCTAGATACTGTTAACTGTATCTTCCATCATCCCCCACTACTGGTTGCAGTGGCTATGACTAATGGGGATTGTGGTCCAACAGCATGTGGAGCACCAGACATTATTTACTCTTGCACTGTAGTTTAGCATGCGGCAACAAGTTGCAGCAAGCCTGGACCCTGGGAAACGCTTTGCGGTAGTGCTCATAGCCATTTTTCAAATTCCCATATGAGCCCAAAGGTGCAAGAAAGCTTGAGATCCCTGAGTTATGGAGGTCAAAGCAAATGGTGCAGTTCCAGATAGAGACCAGGGGCTTGTGGCCCTCCAAATGCCCATTACCATTATTGGCACAGCCAATGGAAAGGAATTTGGGGTGCTGAAGTTCAACCTCCACAGCCTCTGGTTTAATTACTGAGACAGATTTCAGACATATGGATTCTGCCCAAAAGGTCAGATTTGGGCTTGGCTATTGTCTTTCCAATGATTAATTGGAACATTCCCTCTGTTCATCTGCCCTCTCTCTAGTGAATCTCAATGGTTTCTTGCTGAAGAATGCAGCACATGGGTCGCTTTTCTTTTTCTAACGTTTTCATCCTTCCTCTTTACTTCTTCTTGGCACTTGCAGCTCTCTTCCTGAACAGATGGCTCTCGCGATACAGATAAGAGGGTTATTCTCTGAAAAGAAAACATCTCATCTCTTATGCTGTATTGGAAGGAAGCAACTTTAATATCTCATTTTATACAAACAGAACAGTTTAGAACCTGGATGGCAGAGGCAGCTACCGTGCCCAGCAGCAGTTTAAATCAAGTATCATTAACAAAAATGCTGCAGCAGTTCATAAATCAATCAGGACAGCAACTACTGGAATACGGAAAGGCTCCAAATTCCTGCATGGTTCCTGCTTTCTCTGAAAAGTAGATTTGCCTGTTCGTCCTTCCTTCCTCTTTCTTTCTTCTAGTTATTACACCAGCTGCCCAACAACATGGTTCTTTGAGTGGCTCACAACAATATGAGCCATGGAAAATAGGACTGATACTATTGCACTTGAGCCATAGTATGCAGCGTGAGATCTGTGCCTCTCAACTACAGAGAGAGCGAGTTAACTTTTAAGGTATATTCAGGCATTCCCAACTGAGTAAGGCACATTCATAAAGGGAAGGGCAGCTCTAGCCCTGCCTTCCTTCTTTGTCCCATTTCCCTTCCATAAACTGAGTGTGACAGCAATGTGACGAAAGCGTCTCCTTTCCATGGAGCTCTGCACATATGCCAGAAAGCTAAAAAAAAAAAAAAAACTTCCAGCATGTCTCCTGTCAAAGGCCCACCTACAGGGGAGAAGTTTAAAGGAAGGACTGACAGGTGAAAACACTCTGTTATTCCTCCCACCCTCTCAGCAGCAGTCTGGCAGGGCACAGGATGCCCTGAATCTTCCAATGTTCCAGAAACCTGATAGGGTTATGCCCTTCGAGATTTTCATGGAACTAAAAGTTTAGTATTAGCTTATGCTTCAAAATGCTTGCTTAAAGCTAAGCTATGGCTTTGCTCTGGAAGGTATTCAAGAAGATTTCCATCTTTTCCTTCAGTGATTCAACCTTTTGAAAATCTAGGGATTTTAAAACAATTTTTCAGAGACTGGTAGCCAACTGAGCCCTAGTGACAACACTAACGGCCTTGTACAGCAATTACAAATGCGTGCAGAATTAAGATAATACTCACTATTGTTGTTTCCATACACACCCTGGCCTTAGCAACCACTGGTTGCATTATGCAGGCATTGGCTTATGCTAATGCACCATCATTACTCTTTAATGAATGTTCAACACATTCAGTTCTAAGTCCTTCTAGCGCAAAATAACCAAAACAACCATTCACAACTGTAGAATCTGTATCAAAGCCCTTCCCTAAAAGTGAATGTCCATCAGATAACATCAGGGAGGTTGCAGCTGGACAGAGGGTCTTCCCAGCGGCTGCATCCCAGTTGCAGAATCCCTATCCTAAGCACATGCAAGGCAGCTACCAGAAATGGTATTTTAAGAGCATGTCATACATGCTAACACAGCGCACACAATCAAACAGGAAAACAGAAATGTCCAAAGAAACCTTCTTTATCACCACAAGGTAACAGAAGATAATTTATTGCACTTACCTGTTACTGGGTACTATAAATAGAGAGGGCCACATAGCTGGTTTCCTAGCAACTGCTATCTACAGCTTTCTTCTGTGTAAGTTCTAAAGGAATTAATGGGAGTAGTTGCAAGTTTACTCCCCAATTAGTGGCATTATTGTTTTTTTCCAGAAGCACCGAGAAGCATCTTTGCCTAGGATCAAAAGCAACCCATACAAAACAGCAGCCTAGCAACCATTTCAATTATTGGAAAGTGTTTTCTCTTTCCCTCTTTATTCCTTATTTGTTTAGCTGTTTGTCTGAATCTTGGAGTATTCTGAGGCACCAGAAAAATCCAGAAGTGTTTATTTGAGGAAGCTGTAAGAACAAGGGTCTTCCCCTTTGCATGATGAGCCTCATTTATTAGTAAGCACTATCATCTCCCATGTGGATGTAATGAAGGTAAACATTAATGGATTTTTCTGACTAAGTAAGGGGCTCGCTAGCAAAGCAATGAATTTCTACCTTCCTTATGAGTATCACTTCACCGGCAGACGTCACATTTAGTCGTCTTCAGCAAGAACTAAGTTACTTTCCTTATGTTGCACATGAAACTCTGCTGCTCTGCATTGACACTACCTACACACCATACTGTGAACCAAGGGAGAATTGTTTTTTAATCTTGTCTCATTCCAGGCATACCGAGAACTGTCTTGACAGTGGAACACAAGCTCAGAAGAGCAAAATTACTCCATGCTAGTTTTGTGTCCTTAAGCCAAACAGATCCATATCCAGGATGTGCACAAGCCTTTTGATGACTCTTGGATGCAGCCAAGTGCATGCAGTCCCCACATGCTTCACAGACTAGTGATTCTGCATGTTTGTAAGCAGAAACGTGAAACATGGTGCCTTTGCAAAGATGTCTGTGCATGAATTGAGACAGGAAGCTGCTTTATACCATTTGGTCCACCTAGCTTAATACTGTCTCAACAGTGGACTACCTTTTGCAGAGACTGGTGGTGAGGCAGAGGCTGCCTGCCAGTGGTACATGCAGTGGGCATGTTGGCAGCGGGCATGACCAAAGCAATTGTCCCCAGCTCTCCCTCATATACATTCTTTTCCCACAACCAGACAGGCAGACATTCGCTGTTCCGCACCTGAGCATGTGAGGCTTCAGCAAGGGGCGGCATAGAAATGTTTACATACATACATACATACATACATACATACATACATAAATAAGGTGGAAAGGTTTCAACCTCCTTGCCTGGGTGCTGAAATCATATCACTCATATCCTGCTGTCCAGCCAATTGGCCCTGGGAACAGCTTTGACATACACCAGGCAAATGAGGAGAGAGAGGCACATTATTAAACTGGGGGAGACCCAGCAGAGTGGCAAGCATGTAAGAGCATTTTGTAGTGGGAGGAGGAATGTATTGGGGTTTGGGGCATGGGCACCTGTATAGGCCAAACTGAAGGCTGCTGATGTTACCACCTAACTGCTAATGGCTCTCCAAGTTTCAGATCCTAACAGGGATATTGAGGACTGAACCTGAGACCATTTGAATGCAAAGCATTCAAGCTCCAGTCCTTTCCACGTCAGCCAGAAGAGAGGCTATATCAAACGTGATCCACTAGTGGTATCTGGGAGAGGATCAAGCCGAAATGGAACATAAGCAACTAGGGTGCCGAGTTCTGTTCAAGCTGCCAAGAAATGGAACGTATAAATATGATGATACAATTTCTCACACAGTACAAGTAGGTCACAGGAATACTGAAAACTAGGGATAATTATTTCACATTATATATTCTGGGCTACAGTGTTATTTTGCCCACCACCACAAAAACTTACATGTTCTAGGGACCTTCCTTTTGAGCCTTTGGGCTACTGCATCACTTAGAAAACTCACAAATAAAACATAAGAATGGATATGAAGGTTTCGTCCCACCTTTCTATTCAGTTTAAATGTGATTTTCTTTTCTCCATATTAATAAAGCCTTTATTCTGACCTTAAGATCTCTGCTTTTGTCTAGTCTGCTCTAAGAAATTTAGGAGAGGTAATCTCTCCCCAGGAGAAATCAATTCATAGCTGTTACCTTCATTCCTGGCTATAGGAAACTTATCTGGTCTTCCAGGACCTGCCTGGTGAGAAGGAGAACAGCAGTAGAGGCTCAAACGAGGGCCCCAAAGCAAAGATCTGAGGCCACAGAGGGTCATCCCTTCTACCACCTCTGGTGGGAGTGGGAAAGGAGCCATTTTGTTCCTGATATCATTAGACTACTGGAAGCCAGAAATCTTTGCCAATCAACCTGTCACCCAGAGATCTACCTACACATCCAATGCTACCTTCCACCTGCCCCAAAGCTAGACTAACATCAGTCCTTCAAAACTAAGCTAAGATTCTGCACTTGATACCTTCTTCATTATGATGTAAGCAAAGCACTGCAGTCAACATTAGCATATTACTTACCATAAGGTTTTTCTTCAGTTATTTGTCCAGTAGAATCAAATGTGTCTGTTGCCTTTCCCAATTCTGCAATAACAGTGTATTTCTATGAGAGGAAAAATACATATTAGTGTGCAGTTTAGTTTAAGTCAGAGTGGGATACCAAAGAAGTTTAATGAAATATAGAGTTTGAAGTTATGCTTTGGAAAAGCAAACATACTTGTAGGGCAGCCTTCAACCTGGTTCCATCCACATGATTTGGACTACAGCTCCTATAATCCTAATCAGAAAACCCACTATCCATGCTGGGGGGGAATGATAGGAGCTGTAGTCCAACACATCTGGAAGACACCAGGTTGGGGTTGAAAATGTTTTCCTACACATGCGCATACTCTTTCTGATTCAGAGTGCTCATAAAAATCACTAATTGGCCATTATAAAAAGTCACAGCCATGAAAAATACTATTGTTGTAATATTTTATTGAACTAAAAAGCAGATTTAACATGGGAATCCATCAATGTCAGTGAACATGTCATCAAGAAAGATTGCACAGAGCTATAAAATCAGGTTATAAAAAGGGAGAGAGGGAGATGAGACTTCAGTCTTCACTATAAATGCTATCATCCTCAGGGAGAGAAAAGAAAACTGTACATGCAACAACGCAGACAAGGAGAAGTGGAATATTATCTCTACAATGAAATTGAAGCATAAGTTTCAGTCAAACTGAGTGCTGCTTGCAGCAGTTAAAAAAAGAATCAGGGTCATAGTCACAAAAAGATTTCATAGTATTATTCGTAATGAAACATTTACCAGTCCTGAACATATACAGTGCAGCCATCGTTCACCGGCAGCCACGGGACGGGGGGGTGGGGTGAGCCAAAGAGACACAGCAGGAGTGGAAATCAAAGGCAAGTACTTCTGAGGGATGCAGAACAACCAGGCTACGGAATTACAGGAAGGCTGTTTTCAGTGCCATCCCAGTAAGTGGTCAAGAATGAATTAGTGAATTGTCACAATGTGCCTCAGTAGTAGGACAGTCATTTGCCTGCAGAAGGTCCCAGCTTCGATCGCCAGCTTTCCTAGGTAGAGCTAGAAAAGAAATCCTGCTTGAAATCCTGGAAATCTATCTGCCAGCCAACACTGTTCATCCTGGGCTAGTGAAATCAAAGTCTGGCTCAGGGCAAGGCAGCTTCCTACCGTTCTATATCACAGTCTAATCAGAGAATGGATGGATCACATACTACATGTCGTATCCCAAGCTGTCCCTGAGAATCACCCAAATTCCTAGAGCGGCTTTCTGTTGGGATCAAAGAGATTAGATTCCATCTTGCCTCTGATCCACACAGAAAGCAGCCCCAGAAGCTTTGGTGATTCCTCATAACAGCTTGGGACATGGCACTAGTGGTGCAGGGAAAGGAGGAATCAATGAAAATCACCTTCCCCATTCTTCCAGAATTCCTATAAGCAGAATTCTGTTTATGGGATTCCTGATTGTACTCACAACATTTAATTCTCATGCAATGTCAGTAATTTCAGAATGATTTATTTATTTCTAAAGCTATCATTAGCTCTTAAAACAAACATATTATTACTATATTATTGTTCGTCTTTACAACAACATTCAGGGGCTAGGTTCAAACAGCATGCATGTGGCTTGTAGTAACAGGATGCCATTACAAAGCTTCAGTGTTCATGGGCACTGGGTTACATATATGCAACCCCTACTCAAGGGTTTTCATGTTATGGGAACCTGGTGAACAAAGGTTATTCCAGGATTAAAGGGCTTTTGAAAAATCCTAAAACAAATGATGGCTTATAAGATTAATGCTGTTTGATCAAAAATTTTCACTTAAAAAATGCACTTTGTCATTCTTTTAGACCACAGTCAAATCCAGTTAAGTGAAACTGTGGTAAACGAACCAGTGGATGCCCGAGTCCTGCTGTAACTCAAAATAAGTTCTCTTCACAGATAAGACAAGAGAAGGGAGAACATACAAATTATCCCATCTCAGTTATACTAAAAATGGTTTATAAAAATAAAATCCAGGTAATAAAAACAGAAGAGCTCAACAATTCAAACTAAGGCTAAAATTTGGATGCGGGTTTCAGAAAGAGTAAATCTAAATTTAGCAGCCAGCATGAATACAGACCAACATCACATCTTTTAGAATAAATTTTCTACAGAGGGAAAAAGCTGACTTCATACTAACACTGAACTGTTTTTTTAACTGCAAGATGCTGTAACTGTTCTGTCACTGCTGAAGAACTGCAAGATCTTTCCCTCCAAGTAGACAGATAGTTTCACCCTTTAGAATCCCTTCTAGTTTGGAACTGGACTAGCTTACAGGGCAGCCCAAGGCATAGGAAGCAAGTTAAAAGGTTTTAATGTTTAAAAGGAGTGACTGCAGGGGATACTTCCACTGGGTCAAACTGGAAAGCTCAGGTTGCATGGAAATATAAGGCCCTGTTAAGTAGTTATATTTTTTAAATCATTCTTTTCCCATTTTAACATTATGGCAGCATAATGAAATTGCAACACTATTTTCACAGTGTAAGAAATGACCCCAGATTAATCCTATAAGTTTATTCCTTGTTGCATTTATTCATAACACATTGCATTTTAATACTAAAAATTGTTTTCTATTATGTGTTCCCCTCCTTCCTTCCCCCTGTGAAGAAATCAGAAGCTTCTACTGAGAAGCAGGCCCTAGTTGCTGAGGCATCCAAATGCAGAAAAACAATGATATACCAGTATCTGAATGAGGATTTTAACTTTGTACACCAGGATCCCAAACTATCTACAGACTGTTGCCTTTGAACACAATGGCAAGTGACAGCTGCTGTTAACCTGAACTTCTAGACTACTTCTTTATGTATACAAGGAGGGAGAAGTACAAAGATCTGAACCCAGTCTCTCTCTCATAATCAGAAGATTAATTTATGTTCCTCACTGCAAAGCTGCAAGCATTCAACAATTTGCAAAATTTTCAGTGGACACACGCTAGTGCTTGCATTCAGGTCTTGCCTTCATGTTTGGCAAACAAAATGACATTCTTATACATTCTTACTTGGTATTGATACAAGTTGACAGCTAAATCCTATCCATGTTTACTCACAATTCTCACTGTTTTCAATTAGGCTTACCAAGGAAATATGCACAGGATTGAGCTGAGTGCTTTTGTTCCAAGTACAGGGATCAATTTTTCTCCTTCAAAGTTGCAAATTCTATCAAATGGCTAATGACAGTTTCAGGATTTGTTCAAGTAAGTACTTGAGGACTGCAACATCAGGAGATTTTCATTACATTACATTCATATGCCACCTTCATTACGTCCACAAGAAAGGAATAATTTTATCCTCGCAACAACAACCCTATTAGGCTGAGAGGCATAACTCAGGCCTAGGCCAGTCACCCAGTGAGTTTCACAGCTGAGTGGGGACAAGAAATGAAATTTTCTGAGCTCTAGCACTCTAACTACTTATGACTTAGATGTATAAATGAACAAAACATCATCTTCCATTTAATCTGAAAGTTGTTTCTTTAGTGTTAACTGATGTCACTTTTGAAAGGTTATTAATAGGCAGCATGGTCACACGTCTTACTCCTTATAGGAAAAATTATTCTCCCCATCAGCTGAATAGGCCTTCAAAAAGACCATGGAGTATAATAGGAAAAAATGGCTAGTTCAGCTTTACAGACAACAAAACAGCAAGTTACCCTAATAAAGAAGCCGTAAATCTTTATTTGCTTAGCTAAGCCAGTCTGCAGACTTAAATACATTCACAAGAACTCAAATCCAATTTAAATTGTTTATCATCATTTGCAATAATTACTTGCACACAGCAGGTGTTTAATAGATTCCAGGAAGAACTGCTTTGCCCAAACATCAGTAAAGCGATCTATTGCTAAATTTTACCTCTTTGCCATAAATTAGCATCTCCATTAGGGTGAATAACCTATCAAGGTAAGTGTGCTTGGCCAAAGCAAATACTGCTGTATAGGCAGGGTATTAGAATGAGAACCAAGTCCTGATAACCTGTGAAATATCTATTCTTCCAATGCATTGTTCATTGTCATTAAATCATAAAAATATTTACTGTATTTCTCCACTGCCCATTGGCCAAATCTCTCTGGACATTTCACAAATTAAGCTTAACACCATAAAACAGGCAAAACTAATAAAATGCAGTGTAAAACTGTTGCAAACTGCCCATAGATGATGGCAGCACCAGTCACACTTCTTTGAAGACTAAAAAGCCTGGAAGAATGAAAAGATCCTCATTTGGCACTGAGCATGGGTGCCAGGTGAGCTTCCCTGGGAAGGTTCTTTCATAATTGGCATGTTACCACTGAAAAAGAGAACTCAATCTGCAATAATAGAAAAGTGCCTCCTTCCATAGTAATTCAAGTTCATCCTATGCAGCTACAGTCTCCTAAAGCACATGTATTCCAAAAACTACTGACTTTTTGGAATTTCAGGACTATCAGGATTGCTTTGAGCTTTTGGCTCTTGCAGTTCTAGATATTCTAGATATAATTGTTATCCAATTATAACACAGGGCAGAAAAAGACATCACTCTGTGCTGCTCTCCAGGCTGTCTTTACATTACAAGTTTTAACACATTTCAACAAATGCCTCTTTGACTAGTTTAACTTTCTGTATGCTTGTTTATACAAAGATACATGTGCATCCTTGGCAAGTGTGATGAGGATGCAAGTTTTGAATAAGTGCATGTTGCTTTAAAACCATGGAAGCTGTGATTAGGGAAGGACGTCCCAAGATCCCTGTAAGTCGGCAACAGTCCTACTCTAGAGGAAAGTAGGCTATCTCCCCCACGAACTCCTTTGGCAGCAGAGGACTGTATAGCATAATACAGCTTCATTTGAGAAAATTAAAACTGCTTCCACTGCCCATTTGCAGATCCCTGGGAATTTAGCTGACTATAAATAATGCATGTTGTTTTAAGACAATGACAAGCTAAAACCTCCTTTGTTCCCATCATCTTTTTTTCATCCTTAACACTGGAGGACTTTGGAAGCCCCACTGTGTGTCACCATTAAATGAATGGATGGATGGTATCCAGCAACAGAAATATATTTGGCTATTACCTAAACAAAGTCAATGCCAGCAACCACTAGCTTTGATGAAGTTGAGGTACATCTGCTGTTGGATGATAGAGCGCCTTATTCAAAACAGTTACAGATGGTGCGGGACACTAAATTTGAGAGACGAAGGCTAAGGCTGCTTAACCTTTTCAGCAGCTGCTATTTGATCCACTTTTGAAGCTGCATTTACATAGCCAGTTAGTAGAATCTTCCTGTCCTCTCATCTCATGCATTGAGAGGGCTAAGCTCTGTTTTAAAACTTACCAATGTGCACAAATTGAGATCTCAATTAACCAAGAATAATTTCCAAAGCAACCAAAGAACTGCCCTGGCTAATATCACACTCCAAATTCCACATGTCATATGAAATAGGAAGTGTAATATGTCCTGCAGCTGTGTTCAACATGGTCATGCAGATTAAATTGTTATGCTTTCCCTGCAGCAACAACTTAAGCACATTAACTGTGTATCTGCACATTCAGCAAGTTTCCAGCTGCTGCCAACAGCATACTTGAAGCGGGAAAAGGTGACCACCTTGATGCATACCACAGCCTATATACTTAAGGTAGAATCCTGCTAAGAGTTCTGTGGTAGTCTTGAAAGGGCTTTCAGGAAAAGAATAGGTTAGAATTCAACATAACCTTTCTTCATATCAAGACTACAAATTATTAAGCTGTAAAAATGCATCACCTAGTCAGCCATGCAACACTGTTCTCCACAAATTTCCAATAAAAATGATGCGCACAGGAGGACCAGTACCTTGTGAATATTCTAAATTCCATTTCCCCCACTAGAAAATCCTCTTATTTAAACTGGAAATGCATTAGACGTGTACGTATTTTAACTTCACCCACTCAGATACTATGAATGATACCAACTAGCTGGTAATCTTTTCTTGTCCTAGTAGGAATGTCCTACTAGGAGGCAATTCAAATTGGAACAATTTGCTGAATTCCAACTCTACCAGTTCTAACAGTCAGGATCACTCTTGAGGTAAGAACGTCATAGTACTGCTGACCACCAGAGTAAGTACTCACCCTGGATGGAAGCTTTCACCAGATACATGCTCAGATTTACCACACCATTCCCTCCTCATCTTCCCTGCTCAAGCATAGCACCAAATCCTGATACATTGCAAAAAGGATAACTCGCAAAATGCTGGAAGTTATTGATTTAATAGCCCTCTTTAAAAAAACTCACTCATTTTTAGTTTTCCTTTTAATACAGCAGGGGCTAGACAACACAAGGTGCTTCCAAATGTTCTTCTGTGCCAGTTGAAAAGTACCTAGTAAAAGATAGCTAAAAATATACTAAACATTTCTAATCTTTCCCAGCCTTTGAAGTCCAAAGTACTTCACTACTATACATATTGCAATTACATTTTCAAACCTGACATTGCTTCAGGAGCTTGTCAAGTTTGGGCCTCTGGCTGTAAATAAGGGAATATAGCCTTATTTATGCAAAAATCCTTGAGGCAAGAGAATCACGATGTATGAGTATCCCATCTTAATTACTGAAATGGTAAGCTGAGTTGATGGTAAATTTTCTCTATTGGTAAAATTATAAATTGTGTATCCTAAAAATAACCTCTCAAAAGTACATCTTCATCAGGGAACACAAATGTATATTAGTATAAAGAAAAATAAAATAGGAAGCACTGAATGAAGCACAGAAGAAAAAGGCCATGCTCATCTGATTTACACTTTAGAGTTGTGCTGGGGGGGGGGGGGGCGCAGGAAGATTTAGAGCTAGAACTCCAAATGTGGCGCTCCCATCCCATCCCATCCCATCCCTCTCAGAGCTGGCATAAAAAGAACTGCACAGGCCATTATCTCTGAATTCAAGAACTAGCCTGGGTGAGGAGAAAAAAGGGCATGGTTGAGTGAGGGAAGGCAGTGTGTGAGCCAATGACTTGGGCCATATCCAAGGGGTGACCCAGCCTTTTTTCTTCCTAGGTGAAGTCTAGAGGGGATGTAGAGTGCAAGGAATGGCAGTGCTAAAGCTTAACTCCATGCATTGGGCACCCAAGAAGTTGCCAAGTTCTGAGGCTTACATGTATTGGGCACAAAAGGTACTGGACTGCACCACAATAAAACTGGAAAGGAGGCTAAAAAAACAGACATATGCTAGCAGATATCAATGGGTTCTGTACTAGCAATTACTAACGCACTTGATACTTAGTATGGACTGGGCCCAGTGAGTTACTGCATTTTAAAAAAGACAAAGAATAAACTGAATATATTTTGATTGGTCAATTAATTCAAACAGTAACAAATCATAACAGAAGTATGAAGATGTGAAATGAAAGAATTAGGAGTTACAAGAAACAAAGAATCAAAAAAGAACTAAGCCCAACGGGGAGAACATAAAGAAGTCAGAGATGAGAAATAGGTAAAATATAGATTAAGAATGCATTTGAAGATGACAATCTCGAATTGAGTATGAAAAGGCAACTCATTAATTTTTCTAAGGAAGAAAATTTAAAAGCAGAAAAACCTGAACATATTTGTATGCACAAGATAGGAAGATGCACATAAAAACAAAACCTAACAGCTTACAATACCATCAAGAAGATCAGCTAGAAGAGCATTGCAATAACGCATTTGGGAGAAAAACACACACACTAAACCAAAGTATGAGAAGAATGAACAGAAAAAGGTGAAATTTTTACAACAGCTGAGAACTGGAAATGATAGGATTTATTTAACGATACAATTGGAGAAGAAAGAAAAGGATCAAATATGATACTAAACTAACTGCCATGAGTAAAAGGAGAAATGATACTATCAACAGGAATAGGGAGAGAGACTCTGGAGGAAAAGGAAGCTCTGCTTTGAAAAGGTTTAACTTCAAAGGGCCAGCAGACTACTATGAAGAAATAGCAAGCCAAGAGGAAAGATTAAACAAAGAGGATGACAAATTGGGGATAGAAAAAAGTAATTTAATACCAATAGCAAGAATACAATAGAAAAGCACTAAATAAGGTAACTCAGAAGTTGAATAGAAAGAGATTGATAGATTAATGAAAATGAGAGATTTAATAAAGGAAACATTTAACTGCAGAAGAAAATGAAGACAAATGAGAGGTACAAAACTCAGTATCACACAAATAAGAATCAGAATGATTAATAGTCCAAAATGCAGAGAAGAGGTCACGAAGAAGAAAAGATAATTGTGTTGCTGTTGGGACAGATTCAATTCTATTTAAGTATGTAAAGTACAGTCGAGTGGTAAACATGGAAACCAGATTGAAAAATGATCAGATAGAATGAGCTAGAAATGCAAATACATTTAGGGAACAATGCTATGACCACTAGTCAGCATCTTCGACAACAGGAAAGGTCAGAGTTCTAGCCCCAACCTTGGGAAGGCATTCTGAGGTTGGAGCTGGAACTCCAACTCCAGATTGCCTTCCACAGCTCTGTTTAGAAGTTCCCCAGCCCCCAAACCATAAGAACTGGATGCTGGAAAGAGCAAGCAGAACCCTGTAAGTGCTACCCACTTTTATATATCCTTGTTGCCCATCCATGAAGCCTTGAAACTCTGCATGCAGAAGTCTTGTCTACCAAAGGTAGTCTGCCTGCACAATTTGGAAGGTGGGATTGAAGAAAATGTAAGGCATCCCATATTCCTACCTTAGAACCTGCCAACATGCTGCTCAACATTCTAGTTCCTTTTCCAATGCCAACCACTGTTAAGAAACAGAAAAATGACTTGAAAACACTGGCCCTGCTATCTCTGCTTTTAGTATTGCCCGCTGTAAAATATCACAGTAGTCAGAAGCACTATTTCACACATTTCTAGCACCTTCTGGTAACAGGATCAATTGATCCAAATGGTGGCAATACTTCCTAGAAGAAAAATTATGTTGGTGCACATGATCTTTCAGTAAGTTGAGAAAGAAAAGCAATGAAGGTAATTTATTGCTAAAATACCTACAACTCTACATAGGGATCCTTTTGAGCCACTTTAAAGAATTCACAGTCTTCGACCCTGGAAGAATGACTGCTCAGTAACAGTAGCCTATAAAAGGAGGCATGCTAAGCAAAGACAGAACAGCTTAGATAACATACACATTAGGAAGTTGCAACCATTTGCTGTTCAAATAGCCCTGGTTAAAGATCTGTTGTGTTTTTCCTTGACTAAAATCAAATCACAATTCAAGTTAATTCCATAGTGAGCAGCTAATTGCAGTTAACAGTTTACACAGACTGCAGCTGATGGTCATCCATGCTGACACATGGATTCTTGCACCTACACAAAGCAATGTTGTGAAAGTCTTTGAAGCAGAGACGGGCATTTATGCAGGCTGTGGGCTGCAAGTAGCCCTCTGTTCCTTTCTGCAGTCCCTGCTAGTTCCCAAGCCCTCATCATCACATTGTTAAATTTTAAAGGCAGGGCCACAGAGAAAAGCAAAAAGGGGTGGAGCTTGTTTCTCATTAACAGCTTTGTCTTTCCTGGGCTTCTAGGAGCAAGATCTCTACTCCCAACATGCTTTGTTCCAAAATAAATATACGGGGCTTTGCTGCCAGCCAATTCCAGCAATTTGGCAACCACCACTTTGGTAGCATGGGTAGAAGATGCAGGGCACAGTGATGCTCAGGAGAGCAGAAGGGTCACCATACCATCAACAGTTGCCCACCCCTCATTTACAGAGTGTTCTGCATCCACCCTCAAATAAGAAATCCTGTGCCTTTGGCTAGTTTGAGGATCCAAAAGGAATCCTTTCTTCCCATTTTCTCTCTAAGGGGGAGACCACTAAGAGACCATGTCCAAGACCTGAGATTTTATCCAGGAGGAAAAAGCACCTAGAAATACCAAGTTCCATGAAAAATCAGCATTAAGTTATAAGAAGTATAAAACACACAATACTGTTAATTAATAAACATGCAATGATTACTAAGACAATAAATAGTTCATAATGGCAAATCCACTCAGTCATATCAGAAGTTTAACCAATCATTCACCTGGTCAATCAAGAGTTTTACACAGCAACATCATCTCACAGTTAGTGGTCAATTTGTATTCCAGCCTATTTTAAAAACTTGATTATCCCTACAAACTCTTTATCTCAACCTTCCTATTTGTAAGCCTGAGCTAATAATCCTATTCACATTTCTCACCTCTAAATGGTTTACAAATTCAAAGGACACTGGAGAGGTTCCAAGTGCAATTCTATACATGTCTACTCAGAAGTGAGTCCTATTTAGATCAACTGGGTGTACTCCCAAGTAAGTGGAGAATAGAATTGTTGCCAGTCATTCATGACAACAACCCTTCTCCTGGAAAGCAATCGTGTAGACAAAAAGAGGGCTTTTACCTTGGGCATACAGCAACCCTTAAATAGTAGTACAGGTGTGCAGTTTAAACATCATGCTATCTTTACTATGAAGGGATTAGGGTAGCCTAACAAAACAACCTAGAATGTAAGGCCATATTGCACTGACATGATTTCCCTGGCCAAAGACCAAGAGGAACCTCAGGTGAGTTGAACCTTCTGTTTTCAAGCCTTCTTTAAGGATGATAAAAGCGAACACCATAGGCAAAAAAGTAATTCCTCATACTAGCTTTTACTCTGTGAACTACAGAGCTGTTCTTCCAGTGTTATCACAGTCACACAAAACCAGGGAGTGTAACTTGTACTTTTGATTTTTACTAAGACTAGTGAAAGACTTTCTCTCGTAAGTCTTTCTATAAAATTCTTCACTCTACCTAGAAAAGTCAAGAATGCCTGCTTTCCCCAGCTGTGTAAGACAAATATTACCAATGCATTAAACTTGAGGACATTTAAAGAGATCTGCAAGTTTGGAAGCCTTAAGGTACTGCCCAATGAAAATGTCATGCAACTTGCTCAGAAAACTAAGATTCCTAGAAGCTATGACTTCAAAGCCAGACTTCAGATGTCAAAGTAAATACTAGAAACCTGAAGTCATGACTGCATAAAATGTCCTTAATATATCCCATATGTTGAGAAGAACTAAAAATAAATAATGGACTTCGAATGGTGGTGGGATCCAGAGTCAGGGATCCCTGTGGAACATGTACAGTATTTCACTAGATTACATCACAATTAAATGCCAAACAAACCAATATGCAAATTACCTAGTACGCCAGTGGCATTGCTATCCAGAATCCCACCATGTCCAAACTTTAAAGCTTGTTTCCTTTTTCTTCTGGTAGGCTCCACTATACCAGCTTCTGAAAAAAAATAAAATCCCAGAGGACAAGAGGGTGCAGATACATTTGTAGCAATAATAAACAAGGCACATAAATTGCTTACTCAATTAGAAAGTGGCATAACTAATTCAATAGAAAGTGGTTAATCTGAAGGAGGGAGAAAAATTGTAAAGCAGAATCCCAGGAATTGCCATACAGTAAATTAAACACGTCACCTAAGAGCAATTTCTCATTTCTAGCACTGGTTGCTATGAGATAATTCTTTTGATATTTCTCTATATCAATGTACAACGAACATCACATTTACTTATTTGCTGGTTATACAAAATATTTTCATCAGCCCACAGCAGCATCTCAATATATTTCCCACATTTAATTCCATATAATGGTTGTGCATCTGTTGGCCAAGTCCCTTGCTGGTTATGAAAAGAAGAGATACAAGACCGCAAACTGTTCTCAAGATGATACTGATACCCTATCAGAATCAAGCAACAACAGCAGATGAACTGGACCTGACTGCTGCATGCTTCAATTCTATCTTATACTGAACCAATATTAGCTATTATTTAACAACACACTTTCCTAGAACACTTAGGTCCTTTAGAAAGATGGAACCAAAGATTACCATTACCATTTGATTACCATTTCATCCTATGAGTTGTATCACATATCTATAAATATAAACCTGTTTTTGGATTACTGTAAACCAGGAATACCAGCACAAAACTCTACAAGTCAACAGCAGAGCTACACAAAGCCTTGGTCAACTTTTTTTTATACTATTCTCATACATATGAGGATCAAGGAGCACTAAACAGTTATTAATTTTATTAACATTACCAGCATGAATTAGCTATTGGAAAAATGCTTTATGAAAGATGTAAGGGGTCCAACCCATACTGATACACTAGAGTCCCAATACGGATTGGAGGCCTTGCACTTATGTCATATCCTCTCCCCTCCCAAGACATTATGAATGTTTGGTTTGGTACAAAAGTTAAGAGGTAACTGATTACATGGTTGGCAGAAGACCAGCAATAGCATTTGTGTCTGTGCACCCCCCCTTTTATTTTGGTGCTAAGAAGATAAAAGAGGGAGTTGTGAGTACTCAAGATGTTTGCCACCTGCTCTGACCTGGCAACCTCTAAATGTGTTTGAACTATCATGGCCATCCTTTCTAGCCAGCATGACTGTCTCGGCCTACAGGAAGACTTGTCTGAAAGCCATGCCAGAAAGAAGCCCATCATTTGTACATGCATTTCTTCATAAGTGATTTGCAGCAACTCCATCTCCCCGTCTCCTATCTATCCCAGGCACCTATAGGTAGGAATAGTAGAGCCCTACCTAAAACCCAGGGCCAACAATACTGAGCTATATGGAAAACTGATTGGAACTTCCTACATTCCAAGCTGCAAATTATACTGGGAAATCAGACCCTGTGTACAGACAGTTGCCAATCAGGAGGTAATAATATGTAGGGCACAGAGTTCCTAGTGCACATTAGTCCCTTTGCAACCTCCCAAACCCTATGAGTCTTACATCACTTACTGATTAGCTAGACTTCCATAAATACCTGCTAGGTCCCAAAGCTCTCCTCCAGGTGTCTCCCCATGCCTTGGTACCCTCAGAACGTGGCTCACTAAATGAGGTGAGGCAGGTGATTCGCACAGAGAGATTTTTTCCAGCTGTAAACTGGTCTCCATCAAGCAGCTCTCCTGACACCTACTCTATAGTCTTTGGGGCAGCAGAGGAAGGGCCTTTTCTTTTGCTTAGTCTTTCAGTTTTACTGCATCTTTAGTATTTTGCACCGGTGAAACCCTTTATCCTGCTTACAAATTCGGTTTTATTCTGTTTTAAGCATATGGCTTTACATAATGTTTTACTATTTCGATGGTTTTAGGCGTGACCCTGGACGCTTCCCAGAGAGCTTCGACTAATAAGCACAGTAAAGCTCTAAGTACAAGTAAATATACATAAAACCAGCTTTCCCCGTTCCTGTTAGCAGTGCTTTCCTTCTCACCCCCTCTTCTCGAGAAATACCTGCGAACAGCTTCCCCTTAAGACGGTTTAATACATCTGAAGAAGTGGGCCCTTTAGGTTTATACACTGCAAACAGCCCATTACAAGAGCGAAGCTTCGCAGCTGCTGCACTATTCATAACTGCGTCCAACAGCACTCCTTGGGCCGTCCCGGGCCGAGAGAAGTACGCGGCGGCGGCAACAGCAACAGCAGCAAAAGCTCCCCCGCGCCGATTCCGACCCTCGTCGAGCAAGCTCCGCTTCCTACCCACGTGGCTCCACCAACCAAGCTCAGCCCGACAGCAAGAAATCGCCCGGTAAGACCGGGGAAAAAGGAAATTAAGTCCCCGCCCACAAACTTTATAGCAGAAGAGCATTGTGGGAGTTGCAGTCCTCTGAATTGTGTTTTTCTTTTTCTTTTGCAAGGCTGCAGGGGCTTGTGGGAGTTGTAGTTAATTGCTTTTTGCTACTTCCACTTCGCTTCGGAATGCCTGGTTACGGCTGCACCTGCTTTATTCATTATTAATCCCAATCGAACAGAATCAGTCGCGAATGAGAACGAGGCGTTCTTGCACATGATTTGAAGGTTAAATCATTTAATCAATTACAATCAATTGAATGTATTCATTTGAAGGCGGAGTCCATCAAGTGCAGTGGAAAGAATTGAACTATTCTGAACGCTAGCAACAGTGTGATCTTCGGAAATAAGTGAGACGGGAGAGGTCCAGTCCTTTTAAGGATCTCATGCGAGCTGGGATAATCTGAGAAGGAGTCGCAAACGCTGGCTGCACTGGTCTGGCCTCTGAAAAAGCCCAACTTTGCCGCTACAGGCTCGAGGCTCGTGTGTACTGAAGGGCCAATGTTGGGCCAGTGGTTGCAGCAAAAGCAATGACACCCGGGACATTTTAAAGGGCTTAGCTTGACTATTGTCGCCTAAACTTTTGTGGATCAGAATGTGCTCTATTAGATGAAATAACAGATGAAGGAAGTGCTTGTCCACCAGAGCTTAGACAATAATAATGCACAATAATGGGCAGGTAATAGCTTTATGATTTGTAAATAGTTCCTTATTAAAAAGGAACCTGAGTGCACTAAATGGGAAAAATCTCATTGATGCCAATGTTGCATTTAATGCAGGGCAGGTGGAAGGTCTCCTTCCTTTAATACTTAAAGTGCTATCACTAAGTTGAGGGGGAGATGCCAAGGAGATAGCTTATACTTGAGATTAGTTTGGAGTAATTTTTCACCTTATTTTGCAGCTTATTTTCTGCAGTATCACATTTGTGTGCAATATTTACACATAAATTACACCTCCTAGCCATCCTAGGCATGCATATGGTTTGCACTCTTAGTGCCTGGCAGAAATAGAAGAATTTTTTAGAGGAGATATATCACTCTGAGCAAAGAGGTGCCACTGCTTTCTGATAAATTGGCTTAGAAAACTGCTGGTTCTCCCTTCCCCTTCCCCATCACTTTGATAGTCATTGCACCTCCACTGTCTGACTTAAAAGAATTATTTGATACTGGTCAGTTGTTCAGTCCATTAATCTTAAGTGCTTGTGTAGAGTCCTATAAAGAATTCCTACTGCAGGCTTCCCCTCATTCTGGTTTTACTCATTCATTTCCTTCAAGTACTGTGCAGAAGGCATCACTCAGGATCCTACAGTACTTTCGTGTGTCAGATATACCCCATAGATTTGATAATTTGGTAATCATGATGGAGTAAATGTGATATCTGTACAGCATGACATCTGCTACAAATGATATTGTCATTATCTAAGACTTGGGTACTGAGAATGTCCTGCTTTATATTAATTCAGCATCTTGCTCAGGAACTGGAGACAGGAGCCGCATTCTCGATGAATTGCTAAAGCAAGCTACCATTCAGTTTCTTCCCATGGCAGGAAAATACATAGGGAAATCCTGGAATAATAAGTATAGTAATAGGGTTGAGGTTGAATATTGTTGTGAACTTCCTTGAAAGCAGGAACTAGCTGAAAATACATGAAACTACAGACAAATAATATTAATAGATCAATTTGGTAGACAGCATGAAAATATAATTGGAGAGCTGTACCAGTTACGGAATTTGAACTAGCACTGGAAAGGACCAGGTTTAGATCCTGATTAATCCAGAAAGCCTACAGGGAAACCCTGGGATGGTCACTATCCCAGTCTGAGCTACCTCACAGGGCTGTTGTGAGTGTAAAATAATCTTTGAACACTGCTCTGAATTCTGTGGTGAAGGAAAGGTAGGATATCTGTAAGGAAAAATACATATATGTAACTTGACATATCCTAGTTTAACACATGTTTTTAAATTCATGCACAGTTGCTGAAGGTAAGGGAACATACCATAACACATGCCATTTTGAACTATTATGTTTCAATACAATTGTAGCTTGTATGAAATCAAGCTAAACTTGAAAAATAAAAGGTGTGCAAAGGAATAATATACAATGGTTAGAGAAGCTCCCTCCTTTTTTAATACAAAAAGCACTTTATTTTCTTTTGCTGAGAAATTGGATCAACAATAGTAACTGCTCCAAGAAGGAGCCAAGAAAAGTTTAAAGGATGCCAACAGTTCCCCCTTCTGCGGGTCAAGGAGTTGTGAAAAAGAGCCAGACACTAACTAGTGTCAGTTTCACACTGAATAACAGGATTACATGGCCAAGTGAGAGATTCACCCCAGATGCCTCTGTAGTCCATTTACTTGTTCAATTTTTCTTCTGGTGCTTCTGCAGTACATGAATTCATTCTCCCTGCCTCTCACCATGTCTTTCACAACTTTGTGCAAAGAAACCTATAATCTTGACAAGGCCCTTGTTGTGTTACCTATCCAACTTTAATGCCCCTTTTGGCAACTGAAACACACAAGGAGCTCAACAAGACTTAGCACATATCAGACAGCTGAACCAGTCCTGTTGAGCATTTGCAAAAGAATGGTGGGAATCTTTTGCAAATGCCGCTGTATTTGTGCAAGTTTCAAGATTCCCATCTCCAGTCTATTTTGCACAAATGGATTCTCTTTTTTCTTCTCCCCATGGTTCCATTGCCCCAAGGCTCCTTGGCAAGTTTGACCCCATTGCTACAAGGCTTTTTCTGGATGTGTGGTCATGCTGCCACCAGTCTTGTCAAGGAGGCCTTTGCCCTATTTCCCCATGTAAGTAGGTGGGGGAACTGTTGCAGTCATTTGAAGAGAGGGGAAAGAGTTGGGGGTACTCGGCCTGGCCTTGTGGGGAGCCCCCTGTTTTGGGAAAGCCGCCATTGTACTCTTTGCAAGGTGGCCCTACGAATTTTTATCTCTTGCTTATGACTGGTAAAATAACCTGACAGCGTTGTTCAATATTTTACGGTACTACAGACTTTTATTCCACTCAGAAGGAAACTTCATTACATATTAAATAAGTTGGCATTATTTATATCCACTGCTGCACCGAGGATGCCTGTAGCACTGAGTAGAGAATGCTATTTCTTTTTCCAGGTCTAGCTCTGTTTGCGATCCGTGGTTGGAATTCGTTCTTCTCTAAAGTGTTGCTAATGGGCCACAGCTGCAAAGGGAAATTATTCTGAATTGCAGTTTATTTACTGAAGACAAGTTAATGGAAATCTGTGAGTGCACATTAATGTTAAGTGATTCATTTGTATGGCTTCAGCTGTATTTTCCATTCCATATGGAATGAATAATTGCAGGGAGAAAAGTCATATCCCCAGGGCAACTCTATCAGTATCACAATATTTGTATAGTAGCAGTTTCCTTTCACAGATTGGAGAAAGTGGTTCTTCCTTCGTGTCTGTTGAACCTGTGGCTTCCCGTGTCCCATATTGTGTTCATTTGATCCTCTGAGCAAGGGCTGGATCAGTTCGTTCACCGGGGGCTTCTCTACACAAGGCATTTATTGTGATCTGTGATTCCTCATCTACAGTCGTTTGTGCGTGCTACAGGATGTACGACATATGCTTTCCGAGCATTTCCATGATTCTTTTTATGAGGATAATGAGCTCTTAAAATCCTTGCACGCTTTAAAATGCAACAAAATGGTCATTTATTTTCAGATCTTACTATATTGCAACACCATCTTGTTGAGTGTGTAATGGAACATATAGAAAGGGGGAGGGAAAACCCCAGAAAGGGGGACATAAGTAAAAGAGTGGATCTTGCAATGAATCTGGAAGCAGAAACCTTGGTGAAGTGATGGGTTAAAAGCTTCACATAGAGAAGCCCTATATCAGTGAAGAAGGTGCTTGTGTCGATGAGATTTGATCTCATAGCACTGAGCCTTTACAGCATTGCTGCACTTGCAATTCTCCATAGCTATATTTTGGCTGAACAAGTAAAATATAAATAGCAAAGGTCATAAGAGACAGCAACTGTGGTATTCGGTCAGCCATACATTGTCCTGCGAAGTAACAACACTGGTTATCTCCTACATTCAGCTTATGCCATAATAGTATGGGCTATTTGAAAGAGTGGTGTGGTTGATCAACATGAAAATGTGCACTTGCTTTCTGTTGGATTGACCAAACTCTCTTCATCTTGTAAATGCTGTTTGTCAAAGAGCTATCAGACCTCCGCCTCGGCAATTTTCCCCCTTATTCACCAGCACAGCTTATATAATAAGCACACTTCTTTGCTTTTAGACTGACAATTCCACCAGGGCTAATCAGCTACACTGTGCTCTTCATGATGATGTAACTCCTACTCTTACTTTGACCCCTAATCAGATGCTCAGTGGTACTGGAGTGATACCATGCTGGTGATGCATCCGTGGTGCAGAAAGTATTGCGTGTACTTGCCTGAATGCTGAATGTATTGTTCTGTTCTCATACGTTCTCTCTGGTGTCTTGAGAAGAACTGATCTGAGATTATACCATTGCTGACAAAAGCAGTAGCACATAAAGAAGGAAAGATTTAATTAATACAGAGCTGTATGCAGGCTTTTTCATATCAAAATATCTGTAGATGTGACAAAGCACAGCTTCATAACAGAATGTGAGATGAGAAAATTGAATGATATATTTTGCAGTCTTTTGAATTCATTCCTAACGGAGTCTTGTAAGCTTCAGTTCCTTAGTTCCATTCTAAAATGTACTTTTAATGACAGTTAGTTGGAGCCAAAATCAATCAATCAGTATAGGTCTAACATGTATGGTCCTAGCAGTATAGTTTTAAATAGGAATAAGGCACATAATTTTCAGTGGGAGTTAGTTTGAGGTAAATTTGTATAGGATTGCAGTCTCAGGCCTCAATCCTTTACTCATGCACCTGGACATAAATCCAACTGAATCCATCACTTCTGAGTAGGACTAAGCTACAAATGCATTACACTAACAAATA